CTGGATTCGCAGAGCGAGGGAGGATCAATGGAGAGATCTGCCACTCTGCCTCGTGATTCTCTTTCTCTCGATGAGGGAGATAGCCACGAAGAAGTTTTGAATTCTGAATGGGAATTGGGAAAGGGTGTATCTGGAATTTCTCCTCTCTTTTGTTTTGGTTAGACAGGTCCGATTGTGATTCAACTATGGTTGACGGAATTATGATGGAGTTTGTCATAGAAGGCAGGTTTGAGAATGTGGTAATAATAAGATGGCAAATTTGATGTAAATCATAATAGAGGGGCAAGTTTGAGAAAATATCATAGTAAAGGGACAATTTATACTATTAACCCATGCTCTTAAAAGTGTTTCTTGGTAGTCAAGCTATTGAGACACTTACATGTTTGTTTACCTACTTCACTCTTGTGCTTGAAAGGTTTGATAGAAGATTAAGTGTGTTGTGAATGTTGTTCGAGATTAGTTGTATTTTGGAATGGCGGAAAGTGTGGCTATTGGTTGTTGTGAGTGGTCTTGTGTTGTTATGCTTGGTTCTTGATTGAATTGTGGGACCTCATGCTATATGTGCCACCACCAAAAAAGCCTTTTCCCCCATGTCCTAGACCCTAGCTATTCATCTGAACTCGTGTATAAGACCTCCCGGCAAGCTAGTGGTGACACCCATATTGTGAATTCTAGCATTTAGAGGCTACCATCATGGGGAAGAGACGTTAGGCTGAGCGTTTGAGTATGCACTTTGTTTCATTAAAATGGTCCTGGACCCACTGGTCGAGAGTGAGTGATTCATTAATCTTATCTTGTTCATATCATATATCCTGGGGAGGACCTAGTTTGCTCGATCATTTGTTCTTATGACCTGATCTTTATGCATGGTTAACTGTGGTTGGTGAGCCGTTTAGAAAAGTTGTGTATTGGTTTGTTAACAACGTGAGAACTCTTCATTTCCACGGTCTTAATGCATTCGAAGATCATTTGTGGTGGTTTCCAGGATTACTATTGTTGGTGTCCATATGTCGATGCCAAATTAACATAGAGATTCATCCACTTTCTGCCCTTTGAAATTTTCCTGAGTTATTGTATTATAGGTTGAAAGATTACCTTGAGTGTGATTGGTTTGCATGGAACAAGCAAATGTTCAAGTGTGGTGGAGTTTTATTATTGTGTAATTGCCCATATTTGTACCCCTTTATCTTGTGATGTTTGTGGCATTTGGATCTTCCGAGAAGAAATTTTACGCTAGGTTTGTGTGTGTTTCAACATGTTTCAAATCTCATCAGGTGTAATTAGCTCTAGGATCAAAAGTCGAATGAAAGATAGCAAATTTTGAGCAAAGATGGACAAAAGGCTATGATTGCTTTGGGAGATTATAACCGTCAGCTAATCGTAAAGATGGAGCTCAAGCGTGACTTTAGACAGTGTCCAACAGGTTTCATATGTCTCGCTAGCAAGTCAGTTACCACGGTCCCCAGACCGGTATATTTTCTAGCAGTCCGTGATGTTAGTTAGTAAAATGGTGCGTCTTGCACCGAGATCACGTTCATCATTTCGGCATCACGTGACTTCTGATCGTGAAATGAGCCCAAATGGAGTATATAAAGGAGAGAGAGCTGAAACCTAAGAGATAGTTCTAGAGAGAGACTTGGGTCTTTTTCTTCATGATAGAGGAGAAAGAAGAAGGATTGGACTTACCCAAGGCTAATAGGGTTGAAGATTTCTTCTCCAAAGGGGGAATCAAGCAAATAGAAGGAAGGAGAATCATCTTGCTATGAGTTTTTCTTCCATCTTGTTTGTATTTCCCTTCCTAACTACGGAGTAGTCTCCCAATTTCACTTGGATATTGAAAATCCTAGTCTAGCATGTATTAGATTGTAAGAATTGAATTCTATGTGTTTTGGGTTAGTGATTAATATAATGTTTTAGAAATTATTCATGAATTTTGGGTGTTGTTTATCACTTCTCAATGTGGGGTCAATTTGACCTAGAAGGAGGAAATCTCCTTATAACCCACATCTTGGCAATCAGGGTAACCCCTTCTAGGACAATTCAGCACAAACCTCAAACATCGGATTAGTGTCATGATTTTCTCTTGATTGGTTACTTTTCCACGTTGCGGATTAACTTTTGAGGGATTGGTTTTTGCAATCCTTAGTCAATCGGTTAAGACAGTTAAGTTTCCTAACTTATCGTGACAATCCTTACTTGATCGATTAACAGAGTTGGAGTTTCCCAACTAATTGCATCCTCACGATATATAATCATATTTTTAACAATAGAGTTCCATTCGTTGTATCTAAACACGAGACTGGGGGAACAATATCCTAGTGAAGCTTTTTCAAATTGAACTCACCACAATTTACTTTGCTTTCTTGTTTAGTTGCAGTTTCCTTAGCTTTAACCTCAAATCGTTTGCTAGATATTATATAAATGATTGAAGTAGTGGTACATAGACCTCCTTGGGTTGATATTAAATCACTTGCCCTATCCTACACCCTACTATAGGTTGCACTTGGCTTATAGTTGGGAATTGTGTAGTTAGGTTCGAGTTAAGGTGACCTCCACTTCCATTTTTTCATTAATAACCTTCAAAATATTCCTTGACAGTAATCAATAACTTCTCTCATCTTTTAGCCTCTCAACCTTGACCAGGAACCTACACCTCGTCTTATATGAAGAAGCAAATATATTTTTTCCTTGCTTGGATTAAGATTATGAGCCTTGAGCTTTTTTTCTTATCTCGAATGAAATTCAAATAATATCGCCGACTACCTTCATTTAGGGTTTTCTTCTTCGACTCTCCCACAAAATAAAACTATAAAATCTTGGAAATCTTACTTGATGCTTCATACCCTGCTATTTTTTTTATGGGGAACCTGAGAGATATATTAGTCAGAGGTTGCTGCTACATCGTCCAGTTTTAGCTGATCAACAATAAACACTGGAGGTCTATCTAACCAGACTTGACGTTCCTCCCAATTCGTCATAGAGTGTGCCATCTTATGCGCTACCTCGTTAGCGTCCCGCTTTATATGCTTGTAATTTCCACCTCCAAGCTCCATCATCATGTGTCTGATCCTTCTGCAAAGAACTCCAATTTCCGTTTCTATATGAAGCCCGCTCTGCAGCTTCTGCATAAGGAGAGACAATCGCTTTCCAGTACAGGGTTGGAGACTTGCAAGAGGGACGCCATTTGCAGACCCATTTCTTCTGCAATTGTCTCTGCAAACTCCGGCTCCCATTGCCCTTTAATGCACTTCGCCGCAGCTAGTAGGAACCGGCCATCGCTGTCTCTTATGACCACGCCAAGCCCTGCACCGCCCTCGGTAAAAATTGATGCATCTGTGGTGACAGAATGATGGCCAAATGCAGGCCTTCTCCAAGACGTACAGGCCGGTTGCAAAATTCCTAAAGTAGTTTGTAAAAAAAAAAAAAAGTTCATTCAACCTAACATGACATTCATCATATAAATTCTGTGTGCAATTCAAATTAACATAAAAATCACCCTAAGTTCAAATTGAATTACGAATTGAATTTAACATAATACTCAAACGTATAATATTAGTTAAATTATTATTTAAATCTAACAACCACTCTAGCATCCTATAAGGAATTTAATATTCATCATACACAACATATACCATAAAATTCATCCATAACAAAAATCCATTATTAATAAAATTCATCGGAACAAAAAAGCATTCTAAACCTTAATTTTTTATGCATAAATTCATATGTAAACCAATACAAAAATGGAAAGGAAAATGCCACAAAAAAAAAACACGTCGGTCAAAAGGGTTTTTTGTTTGACCATGAACCAAACTGTAACATCTTGAACCTTTTCCAGACAAGATATTGTCCGCTTTGGGCCTCTACACCCGCGCGGATTTGCCTTGGGGTGCAATTCAAGGTGACTTCCCATAAGGTCACCCATCCTTGTTGTAGTCCACACTGAGCACACTTAACTTCGGAGTTCTCACAAGAACTCCTCCATTTCACCCCAAAATGCGTCTTGTATGTTAAGGTCGGTTCCTTACTTATGAACCATTGATCTCTCCCGTGCTTTGTCGACGTGGCACTCGCCTAAGGTGTTACACAAACGGTCACTGAATTCGGTCCTCGCATTGTGGAACACAAAATAGAAATATTTTTCTCTTCTTTGTGTGTTTATCAATGCTATTTTGAAAAAAAAAACTAAAAAATAGAAAGTTAATTTTACAATATTTAATGACATAACAATTAAATTTAACAATATTTATAAATATTTAAAGTAAATATCAATCCTCTATAATATAAACCCCAAATGATTAGCATATTAACTAAGTACAAAAGTCACCAACTTTAAAACGCGTTTCAACAAATAGACAAAAAACTGAATAATATACCGCGAAAGATAGAAGAAAATTCATCTATCGAAAATGACAAAAAAAAAATAGTTAATGCAGAAAAAGCAAACAAACGTTGAAGAAATCAACAAATTAGAGTAAATAAATATCAAAATTACTCTTTTTAAAAAACTAATACCAAATTAGACAACTGTGGGTTCATGGTGTAGTTTTATTTTTTTGCAGCACAATTACAAAAATACAAAATACTTTGTATTTTGGTTAATAGTGGTTAGCCACCCTTTGTTGTTTTCCGTTCATTCCCATCGGCCGAGATGATTAGCAACCCTTTGTTGATTTTCGTTCATTCCCATCAGCTGAACCACACGGCTCCTCCTCCACAGCACAGCGGCCCATGATCTGACCCCATCCCTCTTTCCTTATCATCCCCAATAACAAACGAACAAAACCGATCAACGAACTGGAATATACCTTTCTCTCTCTTCCTCTGTTTCTCGCCAAAAATTCTTTCTCATCGCCAAATTTCTCTGTTCTTTTCTCTCTCTTTCTTTTCGTGTTTTGTTTTTTTTTTCAAAAATAAAAACAAAACACACAAAAGATAATAAGAGAAAACGATAGGGAAACCGAAAGGCAATAGAGGATTCGGAAAACCCCATTTCTCAAGCAAACTCAAACCTCCCCTCCCTCCTCTCACACATCCAACAAAACCCATAGCCCTCCACCGCCCACCGCCATCTCCCATTTTCCTCTCTCCATTCCTCAATTCTGCCACGCCTCTCTGTTTACTGTTTTCAGGGGTTTCTCTTCTTCTTCTCAATTTCGTCGCCTATCGATTTTCATTTTCTTTTAAAGTGTTCGATTTATCGATCCTATAGGTTTCTTCTTTTCTTCTTCCCCTTCAATGAGTTCTAATTTCCCTCTCTTTTCTTTTCTCTTGTAATTGAGATCCTTTTTTATTGGAAGAACGAAAAGGGGGAACCCACCTTAAATTTTAGAAACTTTCTCGTGCTTCATAAACGAGATCCATGGCAGAATTCGACAACAACATGGACTTGGCGGTGAAAACTAGACCAAGCCCTAAATCCAGCCCCACCTCCTCTGCCACCTCCTTCTTCCACCGCTCTTTTACAATTCAGTCAGCTAGAGCTACACCTAAACCTTACGTTCAATCTCCTTCAAGATTCACCAGCTCCTTCGAATCCATGAAGGGCAAGGTTAGAGTGCTCCGGAACATGTTTGAAGCATCCAGGGCTCCCAAAGTCAAACCGGATGAATCACAACAACAATCCCATATCTCAACGCAGTTACCTCCTCCCGGAAAGTTAGTCTCGCATAAATCAATGGGGGCTGACCATAATCGGTACCCTTACATCTTCAGCGGCAAATGGGTACCCTTGTTGCCAGGTACAGAGGATAGAATTGTGGTTTATTTCACCAGCTTGCGTGGGGTGAGGAGAACCTTTGATGATTGTTATACTGTTAGGAGGACCTTTAGACAGTTCAGGGTTTGGGTTGATGAGAGGGATATCTCCATGGATACGGCTTACAAAAAGGAATTGCATAGTGTGTTTGGGGAGAAGGGTGTGACATTGCCGCAGGTGTTCATTAGAGGGAGGCATGTAGGTGGTGCCGATGATATTCATCAATTGCTGGAGACCGGGGAATTGACCAAACTTCTTGATGGGTTCCCACGAAGGGAGCCTGGTTATGTTTGTCAAGGTTGTGGAGACGCGAGGTTTGTAACCTGTGGATTTTGTAACGGTAGTAGAAAGATTTTTGACGATGAGGAGGAGTTCTCCAAGCGGTGTTTAGCATGCAACGAGAATGGGTTGATGAGGTGCCCCGAGTGCTGCTCATAATCAATCAGAGGATCAGTATTGCAAAGGTGAACGATGGTTATGGTGGATGGCATTCTGGTGATGTGACACAAACAAAGGACGGTGTGTTATGCATTTATCGGATCTAAATTGCTCTTTGGATAAGCAGTCATTTCATCTTTCTCATGTTGTTAGATTGTCTGCTCAGCATTGGTTGTGGGGCCGATTTCATTGTTTGTTGTTTGAGCACTTGGCAATGGAAAATGAACAGTTTTATTGGTTATCAAGGTAATGTGTGTGTTAGCGGCAGTGTTTTGGTCAGGTGCCACGGGAGGAGAGTGTGTTCTCCTACGTCAAGGGAATGTGAATATTTTAGCGGTAATGTAAACAAATCTATCTCTCTAATATGCATCAACATACTGTCGATGGATTGTAATATAGATGATGTCTTTCATTCATACCCATGCCCTGATTACCTTTTCTTGGAATGCTTCTTTTCTTCAGTTTCAAAACTTTTTTTTTACACTACACTCGGGAAGTTTTTTATATGTTCATTATTCAGTTCTGAAGCATGAGGGTAGCACAATACAGGTAGAGATTTCCTTTGAGCTTTTTATAGGAATGTTTGCATAGCAACAACTGATAGTATTGTGTATAAACATAAGCAGAAAATGGTGAAGTGGAAGTGTACGGTATCATTGATGAGAGCATATAAGGTGTTCTTCAGAGTTTATATCTCATCACATGATTTTGCTTTCGCTACCTACGTCTTGAGCTCGATATCCATACTTAAAATACTTGGCCCTAGATATTAGGAGTGGCCATTGGTGGGTTGGGTGAATTAATTGTAATTGGCACAATATATAATGAATATATCCAATATTAATTAATAGAATAGTTTAATTATAATAGGTATATTTTCAATTTCAAAGTCTATGGTAAGGATATGGCGGAATTAGAAAATATGATAATATTTAAATAGGGGTAAAATACAAGCTTGATCATTGGGATTACAAAAATAATTACTAAAAAATTCATGTTTTTTCACTAACGATATTTTATTTAATTTCTGATCACTAAGATTAGTTGAATATTTTAAAATTGGTTATTGTTAGTTACCTTCTGTCAATATTTGTTAACAGAGTCAATTTTTTGTTGACGTGACTGACTGAAATGCCTAATCACCTAATTTAACTTGGAAAATTAAAACTCAACCTGCCATATCAACTTAAAAGAAATTCAAACTTCCTAACCAAACCAAATAATGACCCACCCCATCCCCTCTCTTTCCCCTAAGAAGCCAACTCATATCGTAGGTGAATTCAAACTCAGTAGTCATTGTCATTCTCCTACTCACCCGCCAGCCACCTAGCACATTACCTACTTCGCTATTTCTCAATTCCATTAGTATGGCAACAACGAGGTTTTTGTCACACGGGGAGGTATCCAACCTTTGTCAAGGGAAGTCAGCACTCAGATCCCTCCATCTCTCCTCTGTCAACGCTGAAGCCCTCTCCGCCCTCCAATCCCCAGACCACAACGACACCTTCCTCAATCTCTGGACGTTTCACGACCACCACGAGCATGATATTCTTGGTCTCAATCCTTCCTCCTAGTTTTACAAATATGTTAGCAAGATTTCCATGGTGGATTTGATATGCTTCCTACGTAAAAAGGACAACTTGTAGGCTTGCGAACCCTGGAGGTTCCTCTGATGATGTAAAGATTGATTCTTGTCAATTCGATTGTGTGCCAATACAAAGTTAACATCTCATGAGATATAGACTTCGAATATGACTTTGTGTTAGATGTGACAGGAGATGGTTGTTCTTCACAATCAATCATCAATCAATTGAACTGCACGATCCCTCAAGAGAGAAATCTGTAGGGTCCCCATTGTAGCCTACTAGATATGATAAATGTCAGACACAAGGGAGGATTAAATCTTCCTAGAATCAAACAACCCATATGTCCAATTATCAACCGAAGCAAGTCTAAGGAAACTCTAGAGAGAGCTTGACTATTCGATGCCTTTCCTTTGGTTTACCAATCCAATAGTTTAGGTTATTTTTTCCTTTTCTTTTACTTTAGAATATTGAACCAAATAAGGGGAACTTCAACCCTCGAGGCACCTCAACCTTTACATTAATTTTACAAACTCAAAGAGTAATTCCCTTACCGACCGAGTAAGGAGATATATGAGTCTTAGAGAAACTAAAATTATGGTAACCAACCACGTAAATTCGATCCCTGTTCTACAATGAATCAAATTTTATGTCCTTGTCGAGGACTTGTGCATTCTTTGAAAATGGAGTAAGGTATGTGTTCTCTTTTTATTTTCTTTTATATTTTATATTTTCATTTGTCTGTGTGTGTGTTTTTCAGTCCCTCTATTTTTAGTCTTGCAATTCTGTGTTTTCATTTTTGTTCATATTGTATTTATTTTCGTATAATTTTCTTCATATTTTTCTTTCTAATAGTCTATAGTCAGTGTTCAGGAGCAAACACAGAACTAAAATTGCCAGTTCGGATGCCAATTTCTTGAAAAATTTGTCGGCCTAGACGCTATTTTGGGTAGAGACTCGTCACTTGGTAGTTTTTGTTCCCAGTTTCTGTATATGAGCCTAGCAAAGACTAGCGACAAAACAAACAAACTCAAGTTCAAAAGGTTTGCCCAAGATCGTGTTTATCGTATTGATACCTCTTATTTCTCAGAAGCTAGGTCAGAACCACCTAGAAAGAGAGCTACTAGGGAAAAGCAACTCACAACTATTTTCCTAAACCTTCTCTTCGATGAGTGTTCAGAAGCATAAAATAACAATCTCGCTTCTGAACAAAAAGATGCCTGGAAGTAGGACGGGACGAACTCTTTACCTGCAAGGTTAATGAGATCCTCATATGTGGCTAAGTCTAATGGCATTAAAAATGTAGTCTCTAACTTCCTATTCATGACACACAACCTACAAAGTTGCATTTACATAAGGACTCCATCTCCGAATCTTATCAAAAGTAGGTAATCCATCCAACAAAACAATCCATATAACAAAAGCAAGCAATCTTTTATGGAGTTTGTTTTTTGAAAGCTCAGTCTACTTGGAGGTTCAGTCATTTGGGAGTGAAAGTTACCCCTACTTATCTATTTGGGGGAGGATGTCTTTCATGGAATACATCTAGATGGGCAACAATCTTTATGTAAAAAATATGATAGGTGGGCTTGACAAGTTTGAAACAAATATAGTGGATAAGAGTGTGCAGTCTATACCTTTTTGGCCATTTTTCCAATTCAAAGCAATAACTAAGGTTTTAATTGTCCATGAGCAAAAGTGAAAAATAGAGAATCAATGCCATCATCCCAAACTTATCAATAAACATTAGAAATAATAATCAACATATCACCAATTAAGAGGAATCGAGGAAATACCCATCAAAATAAATTTTCAGATGGAAGTCACTGGTACCAAAACTAGCACGTTAGGGTTGATCTTGTTTTGAGATCTGGATTCGGCGGAAATAAAGTGACATAAAGAAGTTACTTGCAGATGGAGCTGCCTATCGACTTTGGATCATAGAACCCCATTTTAAACTATGACGACCTGCATTTGAGTTTTAGTAGAGCCACCATAGTGCATTGAGTGCTCTCCCTCGGGCCATCAATATCATTCTAAACAAATTCGGCCTATTCTGACCACAACATTTTGTCATATTAGATTTCACTTTTGTCATATTAGGTGTTTTATTACAAAGTGTGTTGTCACAAGCTTTTGTCATTTCATCGTAGTCAGAATAGGTCAAATGATAAAAAAAAAATTTAACACATTTGTCACATTTTGTTTAAGTATAATTGTAGTTTTGGGCAGTCTATTGTGACAAATAGAGATGTTACAACGAAAGCATTGGTCATAATGGTTGTCATAATTTGGTGATTTTGAGGCTATTTTTTGTCATATTAGACGATTATATTTTGTCGCAACACTATATTGTGAGGAAACAGTTATGTCACAATAGGTTTTTTTGACAAAACTGTTTGGTCATATCTATATATTACGACATGATTCGGGCCTAATTGCACATGTTTTGCCCCCATTTTACTTAGGTGTTTGTGCCAAATTCACTCCTTAAAGGTTGGTTTTACGCTAGGTTCTTTGTGTTTGAGTGATTTCCAGGATTTAACAGGTGAAACCAGCCTCAGAGTCGAAAGATTGGCGAAAAGGATGGAAAATCGGGAGAAGAGGTGAAAAAAAGCCAGTTCACGGCTAACAAAGGGAGTTCACGGTCTTGCATGACCGTGAAGAAGAGGAGTTGACCGTGAATCGTGAGGTGTCCAGATCCAAAGTGAAGGTTACTGACGCAAGGTGAGTTCACGGTCACTAAGACAGTGAATAAAGGCAGTTGACCGTGAACTCGAGTGAACGATGCGGCGTGTTTTGGCGCACACTTGCTATTCATGGACGCGTTTCATGGTTCACGGCCGTGAACTCAGCTCATCTCTGGTTTAAAAGACGAACTGAAAGGAGGAGAGAGGGGGAGCCCATTTGGTGTGAAAAGCCTTCTTCTACATTCTAGAGAGAGAAACACGAACCAAAGGGAGAAGAAGGTCAGGGTTTAGCTTCAAAGCTGATTTTGGGAAGATTTCCTCCAAAGAAAGCTCAACTCAAGGGCCAAGAAGACTGGGAGCATCCTCCAAGATGGTTTCCAACTCTTTCCCTTTTGTTTTTCCCACTTTTAGCATGGAGTAGACCACCTTTTACTTTGGTGTTGTGAAACCCTAACTCTACCATGTAGTTTTCTTTTATGTGTATTGGATGATTGTCATTGGGTATTATTCAATTCAATGATTGAGGCATTATTTATCATGATTGTGCATGCTTGTGCTTAACAACTTAGGGGGTTGTGCATGTTTTATGCTTAGCACCCTTAGGTTTGTGCATGTAGGTGCTAGCAATCTAATTGGCCACCTTAGCCTAGCTTAGAAAGGAAAATCACCCTTCCAAGGGAGACTCAATCGAGTTGGTTTTCCTTCCGCTTTCTAAGCCACCTAAACTAGTTAAGTTAGGGAAAACCTTGATATTGAGTAAAGCAAATCTGTTAATCGCGATCAAGCCGTCCGACCTTAGAGTTGAGTGAGGGAGTAAGTCAATTACCGATTGTCTAAACCGAGAGAGTGACACGGCCTTTCATGCTTCCCTCTTTTTAGCAATTGAGATTGTGGTCTCCGACCACATATGCATCCCTCTGCGGTTCACGATTATTGTGCCCAAAGCAATCGTTCCAATCCACATAGCATGGTAGCAGTTAGGGGGAAGCAACACCCGAGTGATCCTTCCACCAAAGAGTTATCAAAACCATTTACCTTTGCTTTCTTTCATTTCAAATTAGCAAACCTTTAAACCAAAGCTTTGTTACTGGATAATAATTTAAAAAACTGAAGTAGGGGTAGACGAACCGGGCCGGGTC